CACATATATAGCTGCCTGGGCTTCATGCACATTTATTGTATATTTGCCCAATTGATTTCAATGTGACTATTAAATCTTGGACAAAATATATGCTGCTTGACTAGAGTAGATGTGTTCACATGCTGTGTTCAACAAGTGTACTTTCCATGTCCCTGTGTGCACAAAAATATCAGCTGTGTAATCATATAATTGTTCACATGCAGTGTTCAGTCTGTGTATACAATAGTTGAGCTGAACAAACCAGTTAGTGTATCTTCTTTAACGCCAACACTTGTAAACGTATAGGAACATTGGAAGCCATGAGTCAGATGATTGGTCCATCTAGCAAAGTATTAAATACACTGCACTGAGTGTCAGTGGCTCTCCTGTATTGCAGGCAGGGTTCTCTCTTAGCCCCAGCTGTAGATTCCAGGGATTAAAACTGGGAACACCTGCATGCAAATTAAATGCTCTACCACTAAGCCATGGCTCAGCTTTTAGAGACAGCTTGAAATAGTCTTCATTGTAATGTGTGAACAAATCTAGTGTCAGACGAGCTCTGAGGAGTCTAGGCCTCAAGTATCACCTCCGCCATCCATCTCACTAAGTCCCTTCTAGCAGCTTCAATTGGTTCACCAGCTATGGCTGTTCGTGGACAGGGATAGTCTAACCATTGGAGTCCCTGCATTGATAACCTCAGGGCTATATTACGGTAATGTGCTCTACATGGGGCTGACCTTGGGTCTGGTTCAGAAACTTCAGCTGGTGCAGAATGCAACAGTCAGACAGCTGATGGGTGCATCTGGGCAACAGCATGGAACACCATTGTTAAAACACCTGTACCGGAAGTCCATCTACTACTGAGCCAGGTTCAGGGCTCTTGTATTAATTTACAAAGCCCTAAACAACTTAGGTCCATGGTACCACAGGGATTACCTGAGCCCTTATATCCCAGCTTGATCACTAAGATCATCTGCAGGTGCATCACTGGTCATTCCTTGAGTTGGCAAGGCTCACTTGATAACAATAAGTAGAGACTTTAGTGTCATTGGCCCAGTATTACAGAATACAGTGGTACCTTGGTTCTCGAATTCCAGGAGTCTGTTGTACTCCTGAAACCATTCGAAAATCAAGGTGCTGCTTCTGATTGGCTGCAGGAGCTTCCTGCACTCAAGCGGAAGCCATGTTGGATGTTCAGCTCCTGAAAAACTTTCACAAACCGGAACACTTACTTCAGGATTTGAGACGTTTGGGAGACGATTTGTTCGACAACTAAGCCATACAAGAACCAAGGTCCCACTGTACTCTGCTGGTAGAGAGGTAGCTGAATCTGCTGAAAACCTTTCTATTCTGTCAAGCCTATGCAAGCAACCAGGAACACCTCTTTCCACAATAGTTAATTGATGTTTGATTTTAACATATCTATCTATCTATCTATCATCTATCTATCTATCTATCTATCTAGCTATCTATCTATCATCTATCATCATCATCTATCTATCTATCATCTATCTATCTAATGGTTTTATGTGCTATTATTTCAAACCGCGTTGATTTTTTTAATGAAATAGTGGTGTAATATATCAGTGTACTTGGCCAAGGCACTGTTTATCAGTCAAACCTACCTTTGCTGGGTTGTTGTGTGAATAAATGAGTGGATACATTAGAACCAGGTACTGTATACTGCCCTCTTTGGAGAAAGTGCTGGACAATATATATATTGTCCCAGACACTGGGCACCTGTCATAACCAACATTAGTTATACTTGGAGCAGACCCATTGAAAGGAATGGATGTAATGAAGGTCCATTAATTTCCGCTGCTTTACTGTAACTTAGATGGATGCACTCCGTTTTCTTTGCCAGGCAGATTGCAAGGGTGTTTGAGCTGTTGCTTTGAAGAAACTGGTTCAATTGCCCCTGAGGAACTATGTCCTGACACAAAACACACTAGGTCCAAGCGAAATGATTCATGTGCATCTTTGTGATCTCTATGGCATTTCCAAGGGCAGCAGCTATCAAATCTGCTTAATTTGTGGGGTTTCTGTTCCTTTTACATCACAGGAAAGCAAGAATGCTTTACCAGCCTCTTTGTTCTACTATCTACTATTATTCCTCATGGATAATCATATCTCGATCCCCATTTATGCTTGCTGTATCTGACTTTTGTCTCTGATAAAAGCCTCCCTCGATGGATAAGAAGAAAGATTTAGAGAAGTCAATTGGGTTAAGTGATTTAAAAAAAAACAAAAAAAGAACCTCAAGGATAGCTACTGGCAATACTGCAACAACCTTGATTCTTGTCCCACACTCCACTTCTATATATAATTACTGAAAACTCTTTTAACCTACGAGTGATACAGGCTGATGAACAATGAATAAAAGCCTTTAAACTGCTATGCTTGTAAGTCAAACTCAGATCTGTATATTTGAGGAGACAGGAATTCACCTGACAGCCTTAAAGGGGGAAAAAAGTTCTTATTTCTGGGGCAGACAAATTAAACAAATATGATCCCACTGTTTGCTCCCCAAAGCAATTTGGAGTTCAAATAAGAACAGGATGTGTACTTTTACTGTGTCTGTGTGTGATCGACATAAAAACAAAAAAAGAGAGACAATAGTACCTAAAACCCAGGAAATTCCGCTTTGCCCTGACTCTGCAAATAATATGGTAGTTTGATCAGGTATGTGTACTGTAGCTATAAAATAGAGTCACAGCAGGTATATTATCCTGCAGACTTTCTTCTTTTTCTTCTACTTCACAGTGAAAATAGATTCTGGAAAGAGAGACTAAATGAAAGACTAAGAACAAATGTGGGGGGCCCTGCCCATATGGGTGGTTGCATTATACTCATTAAGATGCATGGAGCACTTCTCCACCAACCCCAGTCTGCCTTTAGCCAGTCCCCACCCATTCCTGTTCAGGGTCTGGCACAGCTTGTCAGCTTCCTCCCCTCTTGTCTCTATGTTGCTATCGTAGACAGGGCCAGTTCAAGACATTTTGGCACCTGATGTGAACCACAAAATGGTTCTGGAGTAGGGAAGAATGGGTGAGTGAACAACTACATCAGGAACAAGGGAGGAAGAAAGATCTACATTGGAAACAAGGTGGGGAGGAGACCACCAGTGACATGCCACTGTATAGGAGGCATGGGGTTGCTGCCAAGGAGATGGCAGATCCGGCCTCCAAGGAGTATACCACAGCCTTTGTTGCTGCAGCAGTGGGTGATGTATTCCTTGGAGGCCCAATCTACTGCTCTGTTGCCTCATCTTGCCTCTTGGGTAGGCTGGCCCTGCTCCTAGAACTCAGCATGGAGGAAGGTGGGGGAATGAAGTAAATCTGAGTCACTGAGCCACATCAGGTAGCCTCCACATTCAGACAAAAAGGCTGTTTCGCAAAAAACAAAATCGGGGTTTAACCCAAAGTTTATGCAGGGTTGCCATATGTACTATTTTTCCAGGACACGTCCTCTTTTTCATGGGTAGAGTCACCATAGCTATCCATAGTCAAATGTGAATGCACTGGTGAAGCATATCCCAGCACTAATGCACTCTCCACTCACAAACCGAGTCCTGCTGGCTGCAGGGGTCTACTTAACCAGGGTGTTACCTGTGGGGAACATATTGACAAAGCAACACCCAGCAGGATTGAACTCCCTGCTCCCCATCTGGTTAACAGAAGGTTCAATTTAGTTTTCTGCAGTGTGGTTTTCGGGGTATGCGTGCCCTCCCTACTGTATGTTTAAGAGTGTTAAAAATCCTATTTAAATGTAAGTCTGACCCCTGAAGTATCTGGTTCTACTTTGGAATTAGGGAATCATGTAAATTCAATGTGCATTCCTAGTTTCTGTGTATATACAGAGATACAGAGCATGTTGCATTATGTCTGCAGGTTGCTTCTACAACAGTGGACAACTGTGTTATCCATAGCATCAAAGCTTAAGACTTCATACTCTGCCTTCAAAAAGATATCTTTGTATTTGATGCAAATGAGAACAAAAGCACCTAAATGAAGAGATCATAAAAACATGAAGAGTGAAAATAATTCTCTCTTTTTTGGTGTGCTGAAAATTATAGGAAGTGTAATTCTGTGGTGGGTGGAGTTCTATTCATCTGATTCAAAATGGGGCTATTTCCCTTCTTCCACCAGCATAGGAAAAAGACCACATATTTGATAACTTTTTTTAAAAAAAAATACTTACAAACTTTCCAAAGGCCAGATTCTTGGGCTTCAGAAAGCTGCAAAGGCAGTAAAACTTGGCTTAGTTACAAAGTGATGCAAGTTCCTAAATTACTGGTAGATGAACTAAAGAATGGCTGGTGAGAGCCAAGAGGGGTGAGCTGGAGCCTCTAGCTCAAACATCTCCACATGCTGAGCTTCTCAGGTAGACTGGAGAGAACAAAGGCTTGATTACCTACCGGTAGTTCCTCTCTAGTTGAGGGAAGTGACTTAGCTAAGCCTGGCAGGACAGCATGCTCTATGGTATCAATCCCTTCATGCATTAATTAGATTTAAGAATGTTGTTATATGAGACTGGTTAACCTGAGACTGGTTATCCCACATGAAGCAGGCTTCAGATTCCCTCTCCAGCATCTCCTGGTAGGGCTGGGAGAGCTCCCTATCTGAACACCCAGAGGGTTGGTGCCAGTCGGAGTAGACAGTATTGAACTAGAAAGAGCAATGGATTGATTTAGTATAAAGTGGCTTCCTATGTTGCTATAAATGTCCATAGTTAATGAAATCATACATGTAGAATTACAATAAAGCTAAAGAGTTATTCAGTTGAATAGTGTTCTGAAACTTGTTACCCCAGAACATCACAAATAGAATCCATCAGGAATGGAGAACTTGTGTTCCTCTCACTGTTGCTGGACTCCTAACTCCCATGAGTAATAGCTGGCATAACCAGTTCTCAAGAACGATGGAAGTTGGAGTCCAGCAACATCTGGAGGGCCCCACCCCTGCTCTACAAGAAATAAATATTATTAAATGACACCTAATCTCTTCTCTTTTCTTTTTAAGCTATTGAAGTGAACCTCCAAAAAGCTCTTGCTGAAGCTTCTGAAACCTGCACACAAGAATGTCTCATCCTTGGCCATTCTGACAATTGCTGGATGCCTCCTTCCCTGACACAGTACCAGCAATCCAATCCTCCTTTGCCAGCATTCGGCTTCCAGCAAGGATGGGGGTGTGGAGCCATGCCAGAGGGAAGGCACACCCTCGGAAGGCCCCTTCCGAAGGATGATACTGACAAAGGCCAAGGGGGACCCAGGCCTCAGTTCTACAACACCTGCGAAAGACACTGCACCAGTGAAGACCCAGTCAAAGTCATTCCTCTTGCAAACTTCATCCCGGCCCAGGCAGCCTCCATATCTGGGAAGAACGCTACTTTGATCCATGAGCACCAACTATAAAGGCATACCTTGACAAATCAAGCTATTTCGGGCTTTAAAGTGTGAGTGTATATAGGCACAGCTTAACACAATTATAATGCATATGCAAACCTATTCAGGTTTGTTAATATTCATGTATATAAGAATTCTGAGTTGAAGCTGAAGACCTCTATCCTAAGTAACAAGTTAAAGGAAATTCAGCTTAATCAGTATATAACAGTATGCAAAAAACAAAAGGAAAAAAGGAAACAAAAAAGTGTGATTCTTTCCCCAATGAGCTGTCATGACACAAAATATCATTTAAAGACAAGGCTGGTATCCCTTTTTTGATAGAAGTGACAGCAAGTTTTGGAAATTTTGGAACAGTCAAAGAGGAGAACTTTCGGATAAACTCTTTGCTTTCAGGTCATACTTTTAACTTGTACAGAATAATAATAATAATAATATAATAATAATAATGAACACCCAGTATAATTATTATACTCATGACAGAGCCTTGCAATTCTTCATGAGGGAACTAAAAATGGAAAGTAAAGTATTCCTGTTATGTTGGTGAGTTCCAAAAGGGGAAACATTAGGAAGGGGTGGTATGGTACATGCAACCTACAATATGGCATGTGCCTCCCAGAAGACCAAAATGATGAAGGGTGGTATAAACTGTTTAAAACAAACAAACAAACAAAAGTGATCTGTTCACATGCACTTGAAGTACCTGAAGAGATCTGAGCCTTTGCAATGTTGCATTAAATGTGCAATAAATTTATTCTCCACCATAGCCCAGGGAACACACACCTACAATGTCCAGTATCTTCTGGCTTGATGAGGGCATCTTGCTTAGTGCTGGGTTTGTAAGCGAAGAAGGGCAAAGATATTTAGGAGAGGAAGGGCTGGTGTGGTATCACAAAGGGTTGCAACAGATCGGTCTCTTCCAGCCTTGCAAACTGCAGGAAATTTGATGCGTTGTTTCCTCTATCCTACCTGTGCTGCAAAGCTATCACTGAGAAACTGGTGATGAGGTGTGGAGAGGGAAGATTTTTATATATAAAAAAAAATGGGGGTCCACCTGGGGAGCACATTTTGTGTGTGTGTGTGATATCCTGCAGCTCCACATGCCATTTAAAAAAGCACAATGGCATGGGCCCCATCTGCACTATGCATGTAAAGCGGTACTGTGCCACTTTAAATGACCATGGTTCTCCCCCACACACAACCCCCCCCCGAAATGTAGTTTGTTAAAGTGTGCCGAGCATTGTTAAGAGACCTCCACTATTCCCCTCACAGAGCTTCAATTGCCAGGGTGGTTTAATAGTCAAACCTTCTTCCCTCTGGGAATTATAGTTCTGTAAGGGGAATAGGGGTCTCCTAACAACTCTCAGCATCGTAAATGAACTACCATTCCCAAGATTATTGAGTATTTAAAGCAGCATGATAATGCTTAACATTTATAGTGCAGGTGGGGCCTAGATCTCAGCCAAAACAAGGTCACAATGTGAATGTGATGGTGTTACCGCGATAAGCAGCCATTCCGATTTTGTTATGTAAAACATTAAGGAGGGAAATATTTTATTCTGAATGGGTGCGAAGAAGGACTATACCTTCTAGAATCTGATTTGATTTGGTGAGCTATGATAAACTGCTGCAGCAGCAATCTGGGGGAAAAGAGGGGGCAATATAGAATCACATGTCCCCTCCCTGGCATTCAAACTGATTACTAGCTTCTTTTTCCCTCCTTGACATTTTCACATAACTGTTCCTCTGACAGGCTGCAAGGTGCCATGACACCATCAGGTTTACAACATGTGGTGAATAAGCAGAAGTATAAATAGCTCCTGGCAGGGGCATTTCCCCTTTTCACCCCCAAACATTTTCTCAACAAAATTAACAAACCTACAAACCAGGACAGAGCAATAAAGAACCCAAGCTAGCCAACTTGGAGGAGAGTACCATTAAACCTTTTACAGCACAATCCTAACCATGTCTTCTGAGACATAAGTCTTATTGAACTATGCTAGTTAAGAGGGGTTGGGATTCTAGCTTTAGGCAGGGGAAGCAACAAGAAATTTCAGCTTACCATACAGGAGACGATATACCTCTTATCTTCCACTTTTTCACGTATTATTTTCACAAGTATAGGTCTGATCTGCAAAACATCCCCAAACCAAGATATAACCTCCCTTATTTTGGAGTATGACTCCTTGAAGTCACACACACACACACACACACACACAAAATCAGGGATGCAGAACCTCAGACCTGGAAGTTCAAAGCACCATTCCAGCCTTTCTGGCCCTTGTAACTTTCCCCAATGCTATGTTTCCCCATCAGGCCACACCCATCTCCTCTGGTCATACCCCGCACCAGACCAAGGCTACATGCTCATGTGCTTTTTCCTGAGTGGAATATGTCCCTGAACTGTGATAGAGGATAGGTGGAGAGATGTGCATGCAGGGTGTAGAAACCTCTGACATTTGCACAGCTGGAGTGTAGCCTGCTGTATAAATGTAAGAGCCGCACTTGTTGCTCTGTACACTTTTGTGTCTGGCTCCACCTACATGTTGCCTTTCACCCTATGCATCACTGGCCAGCCCCCCCCCCCCCGCCCCCGTGCGCCTTCTTTGAAGTTTGCCCACACCGGAATGCTTCCCTTCAGCTGAAAAAAGAATCCCCCAGCTCTGCTGTATATTATGGGTGGCTATAAAGATTCCTAACTATTCTTATGCCCCTCGATTCCCCAATCAAATAGATAGACCTTTATGCCTGGCCCGTGCAGGGCTTATATGAGGCCCAAGTCCCAAGTCTTGTTAGACTTAGATTATAAACTGAAACAAAACAAAAAAAGAGCAGCTGGTCCCTGGTGGGGGCCCCCAACCAGCTAAGCCATCTGAGGCCCAGGGCAAGTGTACCTGATTGCCCTCCCCCCCCACACACACTCTGCATGGGCCTCTTGGTGGTAAGCAAGTATCCTCTAGGAGACAACATTGTGATAGTGAATGTATGTTGTCAGTTCCTGTAGGTTTCACTCTGTAACTTCACACGCTGTATGCAAAAGCCATTAGGCAAAATAATTCTTGGCATTTTTTGCTCAGTCTATGCTGAAGCAAATCACTGGCATTAGTCTAAAGAATGAGAGGACCAGGAAGCAAATGTTTGAGGGATGTAATTATGAAGTCCCCCTTGTTAACGTTATTCTGTAGCAGCTCAAGGTGATGTACCAGAGAAGATTAGACATTCATGACTGACCTCTGTGTGCTAGTTTTCATATACAGTATAATGAATAGCGAGTAAAGGCTATACCAGGTACAGAAAATGTGTCTTCTTCTTTTTTTTAATATGAAAGAGTCCTGATCCACTTGCTTTTTCTTTCTCCCTAGCCTTTGATTCCTGCAGTCTTGTACATTCTGCAACCAAATAACCTGTCTGTAACACAATCGAACAGCTTTCCTAGCTCCAATTTTACTTTACCACAGACAATCGAAATTTGATGGAGAGAAGGAAGCAAAGTGTGATTGAAAAAAAAGAAGAATCTTTTCCTGTGAAAAGAACTTCATGTAGGCTCATCAATGTAACTTTAAAATCTGTAACTTATGAGCAAACCTCTGTGTGTATAATTACTGTAATATAAAATGGCTTGTAAATTTATTGAAATTCCTGTTGCCAAGGGTTCCAATGAATGCTAACAGAGTTTCTCTGTATTGCCCTCGGCAACTATAAGTAGCTTTATTATCCCCACTGTTATTCTGAACACATTTTGCTTTTAACATGTAATGTAAAGTAATACTAATACTAATAATAATAATAATAATAATAATTACAAGAGAAGTTTCACTTTTAACTTTCCAGTTGCATTTAATTCATATAAAGCTCAGGCTATGTTATTGTGTATCTTTCCCTAACCCCACAAAATGCTTTGTCTGAGATAGGGCTCACTGCATGTAAATTCTGGGATACGTGTTAATGCTTTAGATGCTGACACAACGACTCAACACTAATTCAAGCACAGTAAATACTTTGACAAATCAATCAGAAAGCAGCTTCCGTTCCAGGAAACCTTCACTTAAGTCTTCAGTGTTCGCTTTGTATTAAAAAAAAAAAAAAGCTTCTTTGTTGTTTTAGAAAATAGTCGACATAGGCCTTGATCATGCACATGCACACAATAATTGTTAAGTTTAAAATTTACTTCTTCCATTTAAAAGTTAATCTTACAAAATATTGTTTATATGCCCTATTGGCGGGGGGAGGGGGAGGGGGCGGGGAGAGAGAAAGTTGATTAAGTTTGCATTTAAAGGCAAGCCTAGCAAATCCAACCAAGCTTTTCAGCTTGTAGAAGGTGACAGACTGTGCTGGAGAGCTTTTTATATCCGTGGAGGCTGCCAACACCTTTTAGAACCTTTTGCATAACTGGGGTTCTCAAATGTGCTATGAACCTCCATGGAATTATAAGGCTCTCCCTGCAAATAGTCTCTTACCACACAAGGAAGGCAAGGAAAATGTTGCTAGAGAAGTGGGTGGTGCTATCACACTCATCCCACTACAACCCCCCTCCCATGTAGCCCTCTTTCTAGTGCCTAAAGCGGGCTTATGGGTGACCTAAATGTCTGCACCTGATAAGAAACGAGTGGTTGTTGAAACTTCTCTCCCAAATTATAACAAGCTTCTAGCTTTCTAGCTGGGGGGGCAGGGTACATATGCTATATTAAAGTTGAGAAGCAAGACCTTACTCCAACCACAATGTCAGTACCTCCAGAAATGTTTCTTATGCAAATTCGCAGTTCAGTGGTATATGCTGGAAAATTCTGCTTGGTTATTTTGCCTGCTGGATACCTAGATCTCAAAGATCTGTGGATTGCTCACTTGACTTGCTTGTGCAGGTCCAATTTTTATGGGATTTGCACAAAAGAACTTAAAGGTGATTTTACCCAGTGTTTGTTCCAACAAATAATAATAATGATGATGATGTTATTATTTATATGGCCCCCATCTAACTAGGTTAGCCCAGACTAAGATTCCATCAACCTATGTGT